TACATTGGATGCCATGTTCATTTGGAAAAATGTACTGTAAAATATATCAGATAACAAGGGTAGTCCTGGGATCGTCTGACACCAGCCACTGGGACAGCTGATGAAACAGGAGTATTTTTGTCTGTAATAAAGCCCTTTTGTGGGGAAAAACAAATACTGATTTGCTGGGCCTGGCTACCCAGTGGGTGGGCCTGGCTCCCAAGTGGGTGGGCCTATGCCCTCCCAGGCCCACCCATGGCTGTGCCCCTGCCCAGTCATGTGAAATCCATAGATTAGGGCCTAATTAATTTATTTCAATTGACCGATTTCCTTATATGAACTGTAACTCAATAAAATCATTGAAATTGTTGCATGTTGCGTTTATATTTTTGTTCAATATAATTATTAAATATTTAAGTATTACCACCCCCCCCCCCCCCCCCCCCCAAATCTCGTACCCCCAAGTACTTCTCTGCAGCTGCCACCACAACATCTATTTTCTATGACTTACGTTCCATATCTGCGGTACAGTTGATAACCATTGCTATGAACGCTAAGAAGCCAACCTTACTGAAACATATTTCACTCATTGTCCTAGCCCTCTGTTCTGGCACAGATCTACTATTCACAGGGATCGTCTCAGAATCCCTCACCCTTGATCCACCCTCCTCTACTTTCTTCACTGCCTCAGCATAGAGAAGACATCTTCTGCACTACTCTGACCCTGGCCACCTCAACCTGCCTCTCTCACACAGGACACCACCGATCACCAGCAACATGAGCACCCTTACAGTTGACACACACACACATTTTTCCACCAAAACTACACATTCCTCTTTCCCATGTCCTCCTGCACACTTCCCACATCTTGGATTCTCCCTCCTACACACTGCTGCAACATGCCCATAAAGGTGATACCTATACTGTAGTCTTTTCACACAAAAGCTCTAACAGCATAACTCATATCTCCCAACATTACTTTGTCAGGTAAAGACTCTGAATCAAAGCTCTGTTTCACCATGCTCCCCACCGGGTCTGCGTCGCACCAAACGGCGGGCGTCACAAACACCAGGAATCTTCAACTTAAAATTGCTCCACCTCCACACTTAACGCTACCCCAGAAATCACTCCCTTCAATGGTGCCATGTACCTAAGCGCAAAGCAAGGTACAAGTCTTTCCCCAAGTTGCGTCGCATGGAGCGCCTGCTCCCTCTGATCTGAAGAAACACATACCAACATCAGAAGTCCACTTCGGGTTAGCTTCACAGACTCAACAGCACCCGCCATCCTTTCCACCCAACCTGAAACCACCCATGGATCAGCCAAAAGGCCTGGTTCCACCCTCTTCAAATATCTCACTCCCACTGGACCAAACATATCTTTATCATAACCATGTCCATCAATGCAAGGCTCGGGCTCCGAGATCCTCACAACACCTTCTACCCCTTCCATTTCACTTCCAGACCTCTAACTGGCGTCCGGCTCACTCGGTTTGAACTTGTCACCAATCTTCCTCAACATACTCTCTCCCTTGTTATTGCTAGCTTCAACAGATACAAACCCATCCCCTGCCTCCCTCAGTCTTTTCAACCTCCTCTCTTTCCCAATCCTCTTCCCTTAACCAATTACCTGACTGCTGAAAATATTTAACTTTTCCAAGTCGAAATCTCTTTTTAGCCTCCTCAAGGGAAATGCTAAGCCCTGTACTCCCTCCACTTCAAAACTTGACCTAATCAGTTTGGTTTGATAGCTAAACATGTGAGAATTTTGTTTTGTCCTGCAGCGCACAATGTCTGAAGGGAAACAAGTACTTTCCATTCCGCTCTGGTGATTAATGTCTCTAGTCTGGATTACTCCCAAATTCAACTCATTTCCAAATTGTATTCAAAACAGAAATGATACGTCGTACCCACTACAATAATGTTGGCATGTTAAGGTTGAAGACTTTTATTAGTTGACTTGACATTTATCTAAAATACAATAATACAAGTAGAGCTGAGCAGCTTGAGATGTCATTACAAAGTGAGATGTGAAGTGTACTACAGAGGGGCTCGACTTCAGTAGTGGGCTCTCTCTCCTCTAATAGACATCAAATGTCCAGTAGAAGATTAAACAAATACAAAAAGTTTATTTATTTACACATTGGTTCTCCATAATACACTAAACAAAAATATAAATGCAACATGCAACAATTTCACAAATTTTACTGAGTTACAGTTCATAAGGAAATAAATTCATTAGGCCCTAATCTATGGATTTCACATGACTGGGAATACAGATACAGTGGGGAGAACAAGTATTTGATACACTGCCGATTTTGCAGGTTTTCCTACTTACAAAGCATGTAGAGGTCTGTAATTTGTATCATAGGTACACTTCAACTGTGAGAGACGGAATCTAAAACAAAAATCCAGAAAATCATATTGTATGATTTTTAAGTAATTAATTTGCATTTTATTGCATGACATAAGTATTTGATCACCAACCAACCAGTAAGAATTCCATCTCTCACAGACCTGTTAGTTTTTCTTTAAGAAGGCCTCCTGTTCTCTACTCATTACCTGTATTAACTGCACCTGTTTGAACTCTTTACCTGTATAAAAGACACCTGTCCACGCACTCAATCAAACAGACTCCAACCTCTCCACAATGGCCAAGACCAGAGAGCTGTGTAAGGACATCAGGGATAGAATTGTAGACCTGCACAAGGCTGGGATGGGCTACAGGACAATAGGCAAGCAGCTTGGTGAGAAGGCAACAACTGTTGGCGCAATTATTAGAAAATGGAAGAAGTTCAAGATGACGGTCAATCACCCTCGGTCTGGGGCTCCATGCAAGATCTCACCTCATGGGGCATCAATGATCATGAGGAAGGTGAGGGATCAGCCCAGAACTACACGGCAGGACCTGGTCAATGACCTGAAGAGAGCTGGGACCACAGTCTCAAAGAATACCATTAGTAACACACTACGCCGTCATGGATTAAAATCCTGCAGCGCACGCAAGGTCCCCCTGCTCAAGCCAGCGCATGTCCAGGCCCGTCTGAAGTTTGCCAATGACCATCTGGATGATCCAGAGGAGGAATGGGAGAAGGTCATGTGGTCTGATGAGGCAAAAATAGAGCTTTTTGGTCTAAACTCCACTCGCTGTGTTTGGAGGAAGAAGAAGGATGAGTACAACCCCAAGAACACCATCCCAACCGTGAAGCATGGAGGTGGAAACATCATTCTTTGGGGATGCTTTTCTGCAAAGGGGACAGGACGACTGCACCGTATTGAGGGGAGGATGGATGGGGCCATGTATCGCAAGATCTTGGCCAACAACCTCCTTCCCTCAGTAAGAGCATTGAAGATGGGTCGTGGCTGGGTCTTCCAGCATGACAACGACCGGAAACACACAGCCAGGGCAACTAAGGAGTGGCTCCGTAAGAAGCATCTCAAGGTCCTAGAGTGGTCTAGCCAGTCTCCAGACCTGAACCCAATAGAAAATCTTTGGAGGGAGCTGAAAGTCCGTATTGCCCAGCGACAGCCCCGAAACCTGAAGGATCTGGAGAAGGTCTGTATGGAGGAGTGGGCCAAAATCCCTGCTGCAGTGTGTGCAAACCTGGTCAAGGCCTACAGGAAACACATGATCTCTGTAATTGCAAACAAAGGTTTCTGTACCAAATATTAAGTTCTGCTTTTCTGATGTATCAAATACTTATGTCATGCAATAAAATGCAAATTAATTACTTAAAAATCATACAATGTGATTTTCTGGATTTTTGTTTTAGATTCCGTCTCTCACAGTTGAAGTGTACCTATGATAACAATTACAGACCTCTACATGCTTTGTAAGTAGGAAAACCTGCAAAATCAGCAGTGTATCAAATACTTGTTCTCCCCACTGTATGTATCTGTTGGTCACAGATACCTTGAAAAAAAGGTAGGGGCGTGGATCAGAAAACCAGCCAGTATCTAGTGTGACCACCATTAGCCTCATGCAGTGCGACATCTCCTTTGCATAGAGTTGATCAGGGTGTTCATTGTGGAATGTTGTCCCACTCCTCTTCAATGGCTGTGCAAAGTTTGTGTGAAGAGCACACTTCTCCAGCGTGCCAGTGGTCATCGAAGGTCCCGCAGGTGAAGAAGCCGGATGTGGAGGTCCTGAGCTGGCGTGGTTACATGTGGTCTGCGGTTGTGAGGTCGGTTGGACGTACTGCCAAATTCTCTAAAACGACGTCGGAGGCAGTAGAGAAATTAACATTCAATTCTCTGGCAACAGCTCCGGTGGACATTCCTGCATGCTCCCTCAAAACTTGAGATATCTGTGGCATTGTGTTGTGTGACAAACTGCACATTTTAGAGCTGCCTTTTATTGTCCCCAGTACAAGGTGCACCTGTGTAATGATCATGCTGTTTAATCAGCTTCTTGATATGCCACACCTGTCGGGTGGATGGATTATCTTGGCAAAGGAGAAATGCTCATTAACATTGATGTAAACAAATTTGTGCATAACATTTGAGAGAAATTAGCTTTTTGTGTGTATGTAAAATTTCTAGGATCTTTTATTTCAGCTCATAAAACATGGGACCAACACTTTACATGTTGTGTTTATATATTTTTTCAGTGTAGCTATTTCTGTGATATCCAAACCAAAGCTGCATGTATTTAACATAGCACAACCTTCAAGTATCAGACTACGTTACGTAGAATTCAACACAACCATTATGTGGTGTTCTAATAGAAAAGACAACTATTACAAATTTCCAACCAAAACATTTACATAGAAGAAATGTGAAATAACACTCAAAATAAGAGGCCACTTGACAATGCCAAAATGAAGTTCTATGAACTGTTGTTTTTTGTGTGTAGGGAGGGAGGCAGGTGCAGTGTTCTCGGTTTATTTAAAAAAAAAATACTAAACGTATTTTGTTATAGAGTAGAGGGAGGGTAAACGCTTCCTTGGTTGGCCCGCCCTTGTCTTAAGTCCAGACACAAGTGAATGTGATGTCCAGTCACAGGGCCCAGCCTGCTCTCCCTCACTGGGGGGCCTTTGTGTCCCCTGGCTGAGGGCCTGTCTCAGGGAGCTCCAGCTTTTCACACTTAGTCAGTTTCAGGGTTAAGTGCTGGGAGATCTCATTGGGGTCAGTGAACAGAGCAGCAGGGACGTTCTGGAAGACAAGGAGAGGGAGCCAAAATTCATATTTTCTAGATTTTGCAAATGACTAATCGTTCCCCCTTTACAATAGCGGCATGATTGTATCAGCTGCACAGTGACATGCATGATGTAGCATGAATGTTTTAGACAATGTTTTAGACAAAACCAAACATACTTTTTGGCAAAGTATGGAAATGCTTATAACTTGTGGTTAAGAGTGACCTGAGATTGGAAGGTTGGGAGTTCAAGCCCCGGCCGAGTCATACCAAAGACTGTAAAAATGGGAAGGCCTTATAGTTGAAGGCTCTTTCCTTGAGTCATAAAATTGCATTGAAATTACTTAGAAACTGTGCACAGTTTGGAGAGGTGTGGCCACTTGGAGACATCAGTTAGACCTCTCGCTCAAACCATTGTAATTGTTTTTTCTTATCTTGCACCTACTCAAATGTCAATGAATATTCTTATTATGTTACTGAATGTCTCCGGAGCATTTTCAGATTTCGTTATTGACAAATGCTGTGAAAAGTACAGTAAATGTAAAATGCACATCAAATCAACAGTGTAATGTTTGGATTCAATCTTGTGTCAGGTGAACTGTTGTGTCCTTTGTTGTGATAATTTCCCCATAACCTTCAAAGTGTTCTTGTTCAATTGCTACCATGATCATGCATATGCTTCTTCCACAAGTGTAAGGGGGTTTAAGGATTGGAGGCAACAGTGCTACAAGCTTTCAGGAAGGAGACGATACTGCACGATGCTAAACTTACTCTGACTTCTGCTACACATGTACTTTTCAAACAGAAAATAAAATTCTCACCTGCAATTCTGAAATGTTGCTTTCCCGAGTACTAAACTCTCTGATCATGTAATTCTTTCCAGCCTGTAAAGAAAACCAGAGTAAGCGATGACTAATTTCATAAGTAGGCCTAGCCATTTCATAGTTGAACAGTGTGTATTGCCCATTTCCTGCAAAAGATATCCACAGAATTTGACTACCATTCACATCCGCTCTGGTGGTTAATCGATTGTCATTTCCCAGGAAAGCCCACAGTCACACTTGCCTCGTGGTAGAGCCGCGTGTCATTTATCCGGATCAGAACTCCATCCACTCGCAGGAAGAACCGCAGAAGCAGGAAGAAACTGGTGGGCATCACTCGCTGTATCACACACACGGGTAACAAGAGGATAAGTCATTCTTCAAAACCTCCTCAGCCTCTCAAAGAGGCAAGCGTTTCAGAAAATGCATTTAACATAAGTAGGTGAATAGAAAAATTGCCTTTTTTATTTCTGGTCTTACAGCCCCCGCAAGAGCATGTCCTTTGGTGCTTGTCACGGAGACAGACATATGGGGTGATTGCATGTCATCATAAAGTGTCAATTCCTGTCTGAAAGTGCCACTCACTATTTTGACGCTGATCATGGACACGCCGTGATCGTGCAGCTCGTCCTCAAACAAAAGCACGTCGTCGAAGAACATGATCTGCTCTCGTGCCTTCAGCTTCTCCATGTCGATGCGCTCTGACGTTTCTGTCGCCTGATGGAATAGCAGGTGTGTATTCATTAGTGCACACCGTAGCAAAAAGAAAAAGTATCTTATTGGACACATTCAGGTAGGCCTCTCCCCGTTTCAGCTTGTTTGATTCTGTTTGGTTCCTAGTGAATGCACCCCAGGCAAGAGACATCTTGAGACAAACATTTTTTTGAATATTAAGCCTATGCGAAAGAACAATTGCATTCCAGGCTAACTACATTGCAGTCGTTGCATTGCATCAACCGATGGTTGTGCGACACATCATTGACGGCGCAGTCGGGCGTCAGACTGCCATATCATATGGCGTGGTTAGTTGACATGTTAATCACCTATCCAGGCAATGTGAGATCTGGCAGGCATCTACAATTAAGTCTGTCTTAAATGCAGCCAATGACTTAGGGACAAATCCTATCTTCCACTTACGTCTAATTTCCACTTAGTCATGCATCGATGTCAATGTGAGTCTAAGTTTAATTTGGACTTAAGAGAAGTTAAGATTTGCCCCTTATTTTGTAATGTTTGTGTGTTTGGGATATTGTATTGTATCCACAGTGTGAACCGAAAGGCCTCTCACCCTCATCTGCAGGTCCTCTCCTAACAAGGTGCCTCTGTAGTCTGTGGTGTATGTCCAGTCGTAGCGCTTTACTACCTCTTTGGAGTGTTCCGAATCAGCCCTGGCAATACATCCACATGACAAGTTTCACTCACTGAGATTAATTCTCCATAATAGGACTGATTATTCAACACTTTTTATCTAAACAATTTAAAATGCCACTGTTTTATCTACTTCAACAGCATTTAGACAATGAAGGTGTATTATCACAGAGGTCTTATGACAGTGGTTGTACCTGCTCTCTTGCCATTCCTGTGCACAGGCCACTTTCACAGAGTCCTGCATGTTGTTGACCCTCTTGAGGGCATCGATGGCGTTGAACTCAATACCATAACCGTCTGTGTGCTGGATGCGTAGAATGTTGTCCCCAAACAACATCTCTGGGAGCGAGGGCATGTGCATCTCCTCCCCTAACCTGGGACGAAACTGTCAAGATTGAAACCTGAACAACTAACCTCAATGCCGTTTAGCTGGTAAATTGACGAGATTTGAATGACTAAATGTAAGTCGATAAACAAGCTCCCCAATGTAGACTAAACCTTAAGAATACTAAACAGAGAATTAAAGACAATGTATTTTCTGACACTAAATACTTGGAATAGCTTACCGTTCAATGTCCTTAGATTTCATGATGTGGGTTTTTGCAGCAGTCACTTTCCATGGTCCGAATGTGAAGTCTTGCTTACTGCTCTTAAACCCATGGGTCATCATGGCTGACAAATTGGCCAACATCAACTGGAAATACAGACACCAAACCCATCAGAGACAGAAAATAAGAGAGTAAATAAACACCTGATAGTGTATGCAAGTGTAATGGACGTCACGCTAGCCTAGGCAGCCAATAGTGGCGGCTAGATCTGCACTATTGTCTAGGATGTGTATTCCCGGTAATACACTCATGTCACCCGTGGACTGGATGGTACATAACACATCCTTCATTCAGATTCTAAGGCATAATTTTCCTCCTTAACTAGCTTTAATGGTGAGCCGCCGGAGGAGAATTTTTTTCTTAATAAAACAATTTTCCACAACCATTTTCAGATAATTTATGCTCCATTTACATTGTGACGATTTCATTACACCGTACGCCAACTTCACAGAGTCTTGACCCGCTACTGAAGTGTAGCGTTTGTAAGGAAAGATGAAGGAGAGCCTGTCTCTTGTCAGAGATGGCATTTATTTTTGGAGATTGCAAAATATGACCTTTCATTCAAGCCAGGATAAATATATTGTTTCAGGTGATAATGAAATAATGTTTTGTTTAGTTACTTTTTCCTCAACTTGTTTCTCTAACTTTATAGCAAGTCAAGCTAGCTTGCAATGCAGAGCAGCTAGCTAGCTAAAAGCTAGGTTGATGATATACCATTGTTAGGCTGGACAATAGAACGAGTAAAATGTCACCTAAGGCTGAAAGACGGCCAAAGAACGTTGGTGAGCTGGAACACCAGCGCGAGGCCATAGCAAATTAATTGAAACGAACCTTCGCTGATCCTCTTTTGACTGGAATGATCCCTAGAATTCCATTTTCCCTAAATGGCACCAAAAAATGTATACCTTTTCATTTTACTACTACAATCTGTTCTTAGGACGAAATGGAAAAATAACAACTTGTGTACAAAGTAAACATCCGCAACTCGATGGTGCCAAGTGTGCTTATGTCTGCTTAACTAGGAAGTAGGAAATAAATTGCAACTTCTGACTATTTCTGGTCTAGCGATCGATGACAACGGAGTACGCTGCCCATCCTTACATAATTAGAAAGAGGAGATTATCCTGATTCAAAATACGTCCTACTTGAAAAAAGTCAAAATATACACATTGCGAGATATTTGGCGAAATAGACCAGCATGCCTCTCCATAGGAAAACAATGGGGGGAGCTCAGCGTTCCAAGGGCAAAACGTATTTCGGGGCTAGCTTTTGATGACAACGGAGTATGTCAAAATATACACATTGCGAGATATTTGGCGAAATAGACATACATGTCTGTGTATCATTTTCCCATAGGGAAACAACGGTGCAGCCTCAGAGTTCCAACAATAATGTATACTTTTTTATATTTTAAATGTTAGCTTTTGATGACAATGGAGTACCCTGCCCAACCTTACATCATTAGAAAGAGGAGATTATCCTGATTCAAATGGTGTCTGATTTGAAAAAAATCTAAATATACACATTGTGAGATATTTTGTGAAATAAACAGACATACCAATATTTCCCCTATAGGAAACAATGGGACGACCTCAGAGTTCCATTAGTATTTTGTTTGTTTGTTGACGTTTTAACTACCAGCAATTGTTAAGGGCATTGTAAGCTGCACCACATTTACATAATTATAAATAATAGGTTATCCTGATTTAAAATGGTGTAGAACTTCAAACCATTAAAATACATACATTGAGATATTTGGAGAAATAGACAGACGTCCCTATTTCCCCAAAACAATGGCAGTCAAAGTTCTAAGAACAGTCTTTTATTTAACCAGCTTACCATTTATCTGCTGCTATTTGCCTTTTTTTGTGTTAGAAATGTTGTGGTTTGAACTGGGCCTCTATGTGAAAGCGTGGAAATAACTTATCAACTTCTCATTATTCACAGATTTACTTCTCTGATGACATGGCAGGCAGGCAGAACACCTGAATTTCAGCAAAGCAAAGGCTCTTTTAAGAGCTACCAGATTTAATTAAAAAAGCACATTTTCTGTGTCCAGTGTCTGTGTTTATATGTTAAGGGGGTGTTACTTTGGCATATAATGTTATCCATGTAAAGAAAATAATTAACTAAATCTATGGTGTTTTTTGTATATGCGAAAGGCCCATCAGTTTTATTGTTATGCTGTAAATGTTTATTTTATGGTTGTACGTGATAAAATGAACTAGCAAATATTTTATATTTAGCAATTCTGAGTAATTACTACTTCAGTAAGGAAATACACTTTATTCAGTGACCTTAGGTATATAAACTTTGATGGTCTGATCAGAGCGTTAAAGAAAATGAATGAACTGCAATTACTAAATCATTACAATAGATGGCAGCATAACACCACAAATGAAAAACAGTATGTTTATAACTCTCTTGCTCCTCCCTGTGGCCTTCTGTGAGTACTACATAACTCATTAGCAACACTTGCTAGGCTCATAATCTGGAGGTAGTAACTGCGTCAGATCTACAAATGAATGAGCTAGACCTATCTATTTGGTTTGCAACTCAGTGATCCTGCGCAGCATTCGCTTAATTTGATGCCTACGAACAGACAGATTAAGACGCATATCAAATTACCCAGCAGCCATTTAGAAACAACAAATCGTCAAAAAGTTGGTATTTCTTAATTAAAAAATGTATTCTGGCTGTTTAAAATCGGCCACATCTTGAAAAAGAGGGCAGGGACATGCGTTTTCTTTAGGTTTACACCTTTTTCAGAAAAAAAAAGATGGTTAACCATGACCAGAAAATGTTTAATGTTTGATGGGTATGCGCCAGCCATCGTTCGCACTGTGGGTCACAACAACGTGTACCCAGGCGAATAGTGAGCTTGCTCACGGAGTAGCCGTAACCTTATCAATAATATATTGCCCAAGGTAAGTGTTCGAGTTCAACGTGGGCAGGTCTCATTGCCAACAATAGCGAAGCAGGCATTGTGACGTGGAAACAATGGGCTGGGAATAGGATGTTTGGAAGGCGAGTTGGTGCCACGGTGCTCAATAGAACGAATAGGAGCTGGCAGGGTAAAAAATGTTGGGACATATAGTAATATTATGAAACTGGGCTCCACGGCGGATGCAATGAAATAATTTTTATCCGAAAAAAGCGTTGTTAAAAATGTCATGTGTCCAGCCTACCATTGTAGCTAGCAACCTCCACCGAATAATTATCAAAAACAAAGGTTATTACCATCACAATAAACAAACGAAAGGCAACAGTCATAATATAATTGGCTTAACAGCCAATATGTATTATTTAACATTACTATTAAAATAGTACTCACAGGAATGGGTAATTGTTTACAAATGGTTAGTTAACTCATAAAGCCATCACCGAAAACCACATTTTCATCTTCTTCTGTGGTTTGGTAACTTCCTGTTCTTCAACAGACTCTGGCTGGACTGAAGACGATGTAAAAATATCTAAGTATGCTGCATCTGTCTCGCAATGGAGCCTTCAACCACAAGGGGGCATTGCGATTCTACTCCGTTGTGGACGTCCCAATTAAAATGCATGACATCCGGCGCAACATAACGGAGTGCTTACGGGTAAAAGCCCATTTATGCTTGCTCTGGCAATGCGATCCAGAGGCTCCATATGGAGGGTTTAACACAATAACGGAGCCTTGCGGAGGCCAAATCGAGCTCCGTACCGCATCGCTGTGCGCCTCCCAAATTTTGTAACAATGCGGAGGGCTCCGTATTGAAATGATTGGTTGACGGTAGATGGGGGCGGGAGGTCCTGTATAAACACATTTTACATTTTAGTCATTTAGCAGACGCTCTTATCCAGAGCGACTTACAGTTAGTGAGTGCATACATTTTTCATACTGGCCCCTCATGGGAATCGAACCCACAACCCTGGCGTTGCAAGCGCCATGCTCTACCAACTGAACTACAGGAGGCACAAACTCACTTCCTTGACAACTTCCTTCATAAACAGCTCACACAGATGCTTGAACAAAATATGTTTATAACTAATCCAAGATAGACCAGAGCCTGTAGTTTCCAATGGGAGCAAATTAATCATAGAGGGCAGAACAAGCAAGGGGGTGGGCAGAGCCAAGCACTAGCTAGTGAGATCCTATTGGTGTGTTCTAGCATTTATTTGCATATTTCCATTAGGGAACGCCTACTCTGAAGTGTGTGTGTGCAATAATTCAATTCGCCCTTTCACTCCTTCTAAACAACACAATTTTTGGAAACCTTGGCAAAGGGTAAAGTCTACAAAATGCAGTCCACTCTGTTTGTTACAGATTCTAGTTTTGGAAACAGAAAAATTTATAGAGATCAAATGTTTCATCAATGAGAAAATGTGCAGAATGTCTGCCAAATTCTCTCTCGTGCCATCTTCAGTGGGCTTCCTCTCATCACCATATTTGGTAGTGAGTGGAAACACCAACCGGATGCTTCACATTTATACATCCAGTGAAATATCTGGCTCATTGTTCTATCGTTGCTTGACCGGAGCTTGCCCAATTTGACTGGAGCGAGATTCCCAAAGGCTGGAGCATCGGCCTTCTCGCCCGCTCCAGTAGCGCTCACTTAACGAGCTCAGGGCATGCCCGCCCCAGCATGCATTTGTAGTCTACTTGTGTGCCGCTATAGCCCCTTCCTTTAGCTACTGTCATGGAATTCGCTAAATATTTTCATAAAGAAACTGATAAAACACACAGGTGCTACATTAAGGTGACTTACAAAGATGAGGACCAAGAGCAAGAGAGGAGTGCGGTGATGTAGCGTCCACAACTAAAGAATCATTGTGAAATCTGAAAAGACACTTATCCCTGTGCCCAAACAGTTTGAGCTTCTACTTCTAAAAATCCACCTTTCCAGAAATAAGTCTCTCACTGTTGCCGCTTGCTACAGACCCCCCTCAGCCCCCAGCTGTGCCCTGGACACCATATGTGAATTGATTGCCCCCCATTTATCCTCAGAGTTCGTATTGCTTGGTGACCTAAATTGGGATATGCTTAACACCCCGGCCATCCTACAATCCAAACTAGATGCCCTCAATCTCACACAAATTATCAACG